AAGTCAATTCTCAATTATGAAACTGCCATGACCAAGTCAATTCTCAAGTTATGAAACTGCCATGACAAGTCAATTCTCAGATTTGAAACTGCCATACAAGCCAATTTCTCAGTTTGTAAACTGCCATGACAAGTCAATTCTCAATTATGAAACTGCCATGACAAGTCAATTCTCAATTATGAAACTGCCATGACAAGTCAATTCTCAATTATGAAACTGCCATGACAAGTCAATTCTCAGTTATGAAACTGCCATGACAAGTCAATTCTCAATTATGAAACTGCCATGCCAAGTCAATTCTCAGTTATGAAACTGCCATGACAAGTCAATTCTCAGTTAATGTGTGCCTTGAACCAATCAATTCTCAAGGACTTTATGAAATACACAAGCTGAACCAATCAATTCTCAGCTGTAGTATTTCCTGTCTCGCCTTGAACCAATCAATTCTCAAGGACTTTATGAAATACACAAGCTGAACCAATCAATTCTCAGCTGTAGTATTTCCTGTCTCGCCCTGAACATCAATTCTCAGCTATAGTATTTTCTGTCTTGCCTTGAACCAATCAATTCTCAAGGACTTTCTGGTCGAGGTGCGAACCGATCAATTCTCGCTCCTGACCTGTAAACAAAGAAAGAATAATTCGGTAGCGTAAGTGCTTCATCAATTCAGTTATATATGTGTATCATTTAATCATCCATTTATTGTTATTAAATTGACAAATTAATTGACAATAATATTACATAATTGACATTAAATAATGTAATTGACAAAAATTATTAAACACTTAGAATTATTCACGGTCAGTAGTAAAGATTTACTTCCCACTGATCCACCAAGTTTAAGTGACGCGACATGTATCCAGGGCTTTATTAAATCGAATATAGCATTTTATGCTTCATTCCCATTCCCTCAAACCCAGGGAGACGGACTGACTGACTGAACGAACCTGATTTATAATTAGATAACTCAAAATATTCTTTAGATAATCTACTTAAGATCTTAACTATGTCAGCTGCTCAAGACTTGCTACATATTTTCTCTCAAGGGATTTATCATATTCCTTATATAAATCTGAGTGGGACAGTTCAGAATTCATGCTTAGAAACCGTTAAGTAGTTGAATTTTTCATAATAATGATATGCGATTGTTCTGTAATGTTTGATTGATTAACGAAGAATTACATCAGATTGTCACCTAGCCTACAGAACACTAGCACGTACGTCATCAAATTTCGAGATGAAAAGGTATACTCTCCGAGGACTATATTAACTTATAACCAGAGCCTTTCATGGGGAATATTGTCTTGAATGTTCTCTATTTTATGTGTGATACGACTCGAAGAAAATGTCGTTAAGATAAGTTTTCGGTTAATTTTGCACTAGAGCTAGTTATTTTTAGAGACCACCAAACCGATTGAGGAACCCTCTTCCTGATTAAAACAGGTTTCCGTTTTATGTCCTATCTTACCACATTTGTTACATTTATCTAGCGGCTTTGGGCACTGTAAATACGGATGCCCCTGCTGTTTGCAGTTAAAACAATAAATACCTTGACCGGAATTCTTTTTAGAATTTGATTCAGTGTCAGAGGCATTTTTATTTCTCAATTGCGATTGATCATTAATCAATTGATCTGTGTCCCAACTCATTAAAAACTGTAAAAGATTTTCTGGAAGAGAACAGCGCAAAGCTAAGGCACTAGACTTCATAGTCCTGTCACTAATTCCGTGAATTATGCAGTCGACAGCGCGCTTACCAGAAATACCACATAGGTTTAACAGAGACAGTTTTTCATAATAGTATTGCTCTATAGGTTCATTAAGCTTGCTTTTTCGTCTCAACATGTCTTCTAAGCACTGGCCATAATTTAGTTCGTGAGGAAACGCGTTTATTAATTTATCTTGCCACTCTTGCCACGTATACAAGATCGTATCTAGACTCTGGAACCACAACTTGGCCAATCCTTGAAGTTTTTGTAGTGAAAAGTGTATAGTAGTCCTATCGTCCCAACCATAAACCGACGCGCATTCATTAACCTTTTTCAGCCACACGTCTATTCGCTGATTTTTAACAGAAGGGTCAAAATTTGGAAGAATATTCTTGTGATCTATATTTTTATTAATCATCGGTGTGTTCTGCGGTAACGGTTGAGATTCGGGACCGTGCTTAATAGACTGTATTATTTTGACAACATCATTAGTAGAAAAGGAAGGACTACGTGACCTGATATGTGTGGCACGACGTTCATGGTTGACTTTTGCATGCCGCGCATCGTCACTCCGGCGCACCTCTGTAGCTGCACGAAGAGAGGTCGCAAGTGGCCTCTCGGCTGAAGGGCGCCGTGTACTTCTCTCGCGTCGCCGTACCATCTCCCGCTCTTGCTGCAGTTCCTGTTCTAGTCGCTGGATACGTTCTTGGTACAGTTCCAGCTCCCGGGCCCGGCTGCACGTGCGAGAGCTACGGCTGCGAGTACGAGATCGGTTGGGACCCGCTTCGCCTCGGCTTCCTTTACGGCTGCGCGAGGGTGTCATCAAATGATGTGTGCCTTCTCTATTCATGTTCTGGAACTTGCAGACGTTGCAAAATGTTATTCTAAATTGAACGTGAATTGAACCTATAATAATATAATATGAGAGATCAATTGTTTGTCTATAAATTCTTAGTCATCGCACCCATATCAAAATTATTTCACCTACCCCAAACGAAAATATCAATGAAAAGCATAGGCAGCGTTTTATCGACGGATCCACCATGCGAGTGGAACAGCGAGCAAAAATTAGTGGAATGATAACTATATAAAGTTCGTAACCAGTTATTAAATTCGTGGTTGAAGCTCAACAAACATTTGAACGTTAAGTTAAATTGAAACACGTGACATAACCATAACATTAGATACATTTTAGTTCTCAGTTATTCTGAATTAAAATAGTGGCTAGATACAGCAGAAGATGCTATCCCGTGCTAAGCTTTGAAGCTACCTCCGTACTCAGCGCGGTTCTAATTCTTTTTTTTTTCGAATCAAATAATTACGTCAAATTAACAAGAAACTCAAAAATGTACTTACGTGAGGCGACCGCACTTCTGAGATGTAAGACTCCACTTCCAACAGTCAGGAAATAATACACAGATTGCAGTAGTTTACTTAATTCTGTATTGCTTTATTTGAAACTCCACTTTTACAATCTTTAGACATCTGCTCACTACCGAATACACTGATTTCTCCCCTCGTTTCTCAGACTACCGCCTTTTTTATTATCTCACAACCCCACCACTGGCATTGCTACCACCAACAGTGTTGCTATTTGACAATACAAAAATTGCCTTAACTTTAACATGACCAATTTTATTTTAATTATTTTACAACAAACCTTACACATAATATAGCTTTTATTAGCTTCAGACGTATGTATGTAACAGAATCTTTGTAGTCGTTGTGGCCTAAAGGATAAAACGTCCAGTGCATTCGTGTGTAGCGATGCACCGGTGTTCGAATCCCGCAGGCGGGTACCAATTTTTCTAATGAAATACGTACTCAACAAATGTTCACGATTGACTTCCACGGTGAAGGAATAACATCGTGTAATAAAAATCAAACCCGCAAAATTATAATTTGCGTAATCACTGGTGGTAGGACCTCTTGGGAGTCCGCACGGGTANTCTTACACTATGCCGTTGAACAACAACATTTATTTGCCGGATTTTATTTTTGTTCACCATTCACTCTGCTATTCGCGTATTGTTATTCCTAGCGCAAGTATACGTGGAAAAACGACTATGGATTTACTCGAGATTAAAATCATGGAATAGGTTATTCCTCGTATAGTTACTCGAGTATAAATTGAAGTTTGGTCGAATCCACCCTTAGTAAGCAAACTCGGCCCGATTGAACGAAAGAACTTAAACATGTGAGAATTTCATACCACTAACGCCATCTAGTAGTGTATATTATAAACAAAAATATCTGTTCATAAGTACATATTTAATTTTCTAGGTTTTGTTGAACTAATTAGTTTACTTGTTTAAGACTACGAAGTAACTAATTAAAAATTCAAAACAAATTGTGGTACATACTTTTAG